AGTATCATTGGCTCTTGATCATATGCTACCTCTTGAAACAGTTGATCATTTGCTTTTGGCACAGTAGCTATGTGTATTCCTTCCATCTTCTCTTGATGCTTTCTGCATCATTCAATAATTTGCCCAGAGAATCCTTCAATAATGAAAGTTGAGGCTTGAATTTTTTCTTTGTTCTCCCAGCTTGAGAAATGCTGAGAGTGTTCTTCCTTTTTGGTTTACTGACTCCAGATCTTTGCACATTTTGTTGTAATATTTGGCTTAATCTTTTCGAGATGATCTTTGAAATTTTCTGTTCCATTCTTGAATCTCCTCATTTCTTCCATTTGCTTTAGCATCTCTATGCTAGAGATCAAGTTTCAGTGCCTCTTTTGACATCCATTTTGATCTTTTCCTTCTTTCTTGTCTTCTTAATGACTTTTTGCTTTCTTCGTGTATGATGTTTTTGATGTTATTTCACAACTCTTCTGGTATTCAGTCTTTAGTGTTTAGTGTATCATATCTGTTCTTCTGATGATCTCTAAATTTAGGTGGGATATATTCAAGGTCATATTTTGGCTCTCATGGACTTGTTTTCATTTTCTTCAGCTTCAGTTTTAATTTGCATATGAGCAATTGATGGTCTGTTCCACAATCTGTCCCTGGTCTTGTTTTGACTGATGATATGGAGCTTTTCCATCGTCTATTGGCAGGGGCCATGCCATCAAGGAACACAACGGCGAGAGACCCTACGCATGAAGGACTCATTGTTAAGCAAGGCCACAATGAGTCTCTCCTTGGAAGGCAAGGTCCCTAGGAGACGTCTCATGCGAGGGTCCCGCGGTTCCTGTATTTTTCCTTTTATAAATAGTTCATTTTTTATTTTTTCTTGATTTTATTATAGAAGTTTTTAGTAGAATTCTTCAATGATCATATTAAAGGTTAAAAACTACATTTTGACACTTTCACACCGTATTCAATCATGTGTAGTTATAAAGATTGCCTTTTACAGTAATAATAAGTTTCACCACTCTGAAAAACCAACCAGCTAAAGTACTGCCAGTTCAAGTTTTTCAAGTTAAGTTTACAATCAACATCCTCTATAGTTTTATCTTGATACAATAAGATCTTTAGAAATTAACTGAACCATGATTAAGGGCTATGGGAACATATAGGAACATAAGTAGAAATTTAACTAGATGTTTTGAATACAGAAATTATTAGTATTAGGGAAGTTGTTTCATTTAATTATAAAATTTTAGGTACTTTTTACACTCTTGTTTTAAAAGCAATTATGAGTAACTAATATGTTGCAGGAAAAATGTTTTGTGTGTGAGTTGTGATTAATGAATCTATAGAAAATAATAGGTGAGGTTAGAAATAGGAATTAAGATTTAGAATCATGTTTTAAGGTTAACTTGACATTTTAGGGAAAATTAGAAGAGAACAAAGACACTTATGGAAATCAGATATTATCAGGGTTACTAGGGAGTATAAGGAAGCAGGATATCAAATATTTTGATGTTCTTTGATGTAACTTGAAAGTTCATGAATAATAAAGAATGTAAACACAGAATACATTTTACTGTAAATAAATTTATTACTATGAAATCCTTGGTATTGTAACGGTATATAAGGAACTGAAAATTTGAGTAAAATATAGAAGATCTTGGATTCATCTTGACCCATCGACTCCGTGTAATTCCTTTTCGCTGACGCCACATCCCTCTTCAAGAGCCTCCTAATAACTTTGTTGGGGCTGGTCCTCGACAGTCTATCTCCACAGATGTAGTAAATTTGATTTCTATTTATTCCATCTGGCGAGGTCCATGTGTATAATCATCTGTTATGTTTTCTAAAGAAGGTATTTGGAATGAACAAATCATTGGTTTTACGGAATTCTATCATGTGTTCTCCAGCATCATTGTATCACCAAGGCCATGTTTTCCAACTAGTGATCCTCTTTGCTCTCAATCTTTGCATTCCAATCACCACTAATGATTGCATGTTTGAACAATTTCAAATTGAAGAAGTTGATAGAATTCTTCTATTTCATCTTCACTGGCTTTAGTGTTTGGAGCATAAATTTGAATAATAGTGGTATTAACTGGGCTTCCCTGTAGGCATATGGATATTATGCTATCACAGACAGCATTGTACCTCATGACCGATCTGGATATGTTCTTTTTAACAGTGAATGGAACACCATTCCTCTTCAATTTGTCATTCCCAGCATAGTAAACCATATGGTTGTCAGACTAAAATTGGCCAATACTAGTCCATTTCAACTTACTAATGCCTAAGATATCAATGTTTATGTGTTCAATTTCATTTTTGACAATTTCCAATTTTCCTAGAGTCATACTTCATACATTCCATGTTCTGATTATTAATGGATGTTTACAACTGTTTCTCTTCATTTCAGTTGTGCCCCATAAGCAAATGAAGGTTCTGATGGCTCTTTTCCTATGGCCTTACTCCACTGGTGTTATCAAGGTCAGCTTTTCCCCAGTTGCATTTTGAGTACCTTCCAACCTGTGGGGCTCATTTTCACTATATTTGTCAGGGTTTCTCTTGCTATTCATAAGATTTTCAGTGAATAAATATTCGGAAGAGTCTGTGACTCTTTCTTCCTAGTCTGTTTTCATCTGGAAGCTCATCTGAAACCTGTCCACCATGTGTGACCCTGTTGACATGTAAAATATCAGTGGCATAGCTTCCCAGAATCACAGCAACTCACAAGTCACCATGGTATGACAAATTGACAGAAGAGTGGTGGTAAATCATATGAGCCAATCAGAAATAAGCTTTGGCTTCTGTCCTCTGACAATAAAAGCCAATCACTGCTGATACTCTGATGAGTACCTTCCTGCAGGTGGTTTGGTACTTCTCGATTCTCGGATCTGCTTTCTGAATAAACTTCATCCAATATGTTGATGTTAAAAAACAAACAAACAAACAAACAAACAAAAAGGTGTAATTATTCTTACAGTCCAGAAACAAAGACC